AAGATTCCCATTGTGTCTGTAGAGGGCAGAGCTAGGTCTTTTGAGGATGAGGGATCCCTATATGTGGAGGATGATGCTGTCCTGTGGAATCTAAATTCCCTCTGAGCTGCCTGGCAATACTTGACCCCAGGGCAGACCACTGGGAACATTGCACAACATCTTGAAATATGGGAGTAGCTTTATTTTCTTTTTAAATGTAGTTTCAGCCCGGCCAGGCGTGGCTCAGCGGTTGAGCATGGACCTAGGATCCAGGAGATCAGGGTTTGATTCCCGGTCAGGGCACATGCCCAGTTGTGGGCTTCATCAATGACTCTCTCATCATTGATGTTTCTGTCTCTCTCTCTCCCTCTCCTTTTCTCTCTCTGAAATCAATAAAGATATATTTTTTTAAAAATTTAAATAAATAAATAAATAAATGTAGTTTCATTTTTCAATATTAAGGTAATATATACACATTAAACATTTTTGGGAAAACAGTGAAAAGTAGAAAGAAAAAAGTCCTGTATTCTCACCATTTAAAGACAACCACTAGAAACATTTTCCTGCATTTCTAAGTCTTTCTACACTTTAATTCATTATTATTATTGGTTTGAGAGAGAGAGAAAAAACACATCCGTTTGTTGTTCCACTTATTTGTTCATATATTGGTTGATTCTTGTATGTGTCCTGACCGGGATTGAACCCACAACCTTGGCATATTGGTATATGTGCTGCCGAAGCGAGCACAACCTTGGCATATTGGGATGACGCTCCAACTGAGCTACCCAGCCAGTGATTTCTACACACTTATTTAGTTATGATTGTATTACATGTGCCAGGTGATTATATTACCTTTTTCTCTGAACATTATAATAAAGCATCTTCTCACTAAAAAACTTGTTCACATACATCTCTCTGACTGCAACATACATGCTGCTCTGTACTGTGTCATTTACCCTGTGTTGAGTTTTCCTTCATGTTGCTCCCAGGTTCTCACAGTTATGAATAATGCTGTGATGAATGTTTTTGTGCACTGTTTTGTTTTGTTTTTTAATCCTCACCTGAGGATATTTTTTCCATTGCTTTTCAGAGAGGGTGGGGGGGATAGAAACATTGATGTGAGAGAGATACTTCAATTGGTTGCCTCCCACGTGCTGACTGGGGCGGGGGATTGAGCCTGCAACTGAGGTACTTGCCCTTGGCTGGAATTGAACCCAGGACCCTTCAGTCTGTGGGTCGACGTTCTAACCATTGAGCCAAACCAGCTAGGGCTGGGCATTGGGGTTTTTTTTGGTAATTAGGATTATTCCCTCAGAATAAATTCCTACAAATGGAATTAAGAGAATTTAAGGCTCTTGTTATTTATTGTCAAATTGATCTCCCAAAGGGCTGAACCTATTCATAGTGGCTTTCTAAATAGGTTCTAAAAACAGTTCCACATGTGCCTCATATCTGTGTTCCTTCGGGAATGCTAATTCATTTGTGGTTACTTTTCAGTGTCTTAAACTGATTTTTAACTAGCTTTGGTTTTTTAACTCAACATTTTATTTTGAGATGAGTGTAATATTCACTTGCAGTTATGTGAAATATGCAGTTATGTGAAATAATAGATCTGTTTCTTCCAGTGGCAATGTCTTGCAAAACTATACTGCAGTATCACAACCAGGATATTGACATTGTTATTTTTACTAACTTTTTACTAACTTTTTAAGTCAAAGGAGTGTTTCATACTTAACAGTAAAAAGTTTTCAAAAGATATAGAAAATATTAAAAAATATAAGTCTATATAAATAAATAAAGTAAATGAAAGTCTCTTTCCTCCAACCCCTGGCCTCATTCCTAGAGGAAATCATTGTGGGGGGAAAAACAAAAACTAGGAGGTTCTCTTTTCATGCTCAACTACTGTATGTGTGTATGTGTGCCTGTAATGGCTTGATTCAAGGAACACTACAAACCAGTTAAAATCTCTCATGTCACTAGGCCCCAGGAAACAGGAAATAAGCATTCTTACAGCATTTCATTATAAGAATGAAATAACGCATTTTTATTTCAGTGGCACCCTGGGGGCGCTCCTTGTCTCTGAGAATAGGGGAAGCTATCCGGTTCCCTAATGGGAAGTTGCATCTTATTTCAAGCAGTAGGAAAACAGGACCTAGCTTTGCATTAGCTGTGAACTCTCAGGATATATAGGGATCTGGCTGAGGCCCAAGGAACTTTGCTCCCATTATATTAAATTACTTGTCTCTCTGATTATTGAAAATTTATGAGAATGGTCATTAGTGAGCCGACATTTAATGAGCATGTTTTTGTCTCTTTTTAAAAATTTAAAGAATTTCAGACTTATAGAAAATGGCAAGAAGAATACAATACCCCTTTACCCAGAGACTCCATTTCTTTACAGCAAAGAATAGGACTCAGGACCACACAGTGCAGCCTTCTCATCTCTTTCAGTCTGGTGATATTCCTCAGTTTTTCCTGGACTTCCATTTTTGAGGGTTATAGGCTAAGCCATTTTGTATAATATCCCTAAAGTTGGGTTTGTCCAGTGATTCTGCATAATTAGATCCAGTTTATATATTTTAGGCCAGAATGTCAAAGATTCAGTGTTCTTTTCATTGTATTCTGTCTTTGTACCTAGTTCCTGGTGAGGTTACTTAGCTTTGTTCTGCTGAAGTACAACAGGGTGTCCAGGCTGGTCTAGTTCTTTCCATGACTCAGTCCTGGAATCGGCCATATCTCCAAGGAGCCCTGGTTCCTTTTAGTGGCGGCTAAGTATGCTCATTACTATTGGGGTGTTGCTGCTCCCAGACCTTCTCATAGGACAGAGGTAGGGAACTTTTACATTTATACTTATTTCTATATCTACCTTACATATTATGTTCATACAAAATACCCCCAATTCCTGCCTAACACCACAGGGTTAAGTTTTTGTCTTTTTAAAAATATGGCAGTGCCCTTATCTTTAACAGATTTGTCATGTTGTGAACTCTTGAATTTATTGCACCCTTAGGAAATAATATAGTAACAGGTATTAATGTAGACAACTAAACTTACAGGAGCAATTATAATTTAAAGATATCATTCAGGAAAGTGAGTTTTGAGCAAAATCTATAGGAGACAAGCTTTCCAGGTGGAGCTAAGAGCCCACTCAAAGGTGTGGACTAGTGCATGTCTGAATGTAGACTTTCCTGTTTGGAGCAGAGGATCTTTGCTGGAGGCTATGAAAAGTGAGGCTTGTCAGACTGGTTGATCTTAAGACTCACGTATGGTCCATCTCCTATAGGTTCTGATTCATCAGGTCTGGCACCCAAGAATCTACAAGTACCCCAGGCAATTCTTTTGATCATGTTTGAGGAAACTCTGGCCTACATTGGGAAGGACCAGAATTTTTACCATGCCCATGTTCCTCGTGGACTTAACGGGGAAGAGGGGGGTTGAAAAGTGGCAGGAAGTGTATCCTGAGAATGTTTCTCATTAGAGAACTATCGCTACTGAGATAGGATCTCTGCAAAATGTGCTAGTATTAAAGTTTTAGTGAATAGAACATAACTTTGAGGAGGGCTATAGCTTAAAAGTCCAGATTCTTCAGAACTTGTATACGTGCACATGCTACAGGATATCATTTAGAACAGAAATAGCAGCATAGATAATGTACTGAGTGTACACTCCATGCCAAGCCTTCTGCTATGATAAGTACTCTATATGAATATCATTATGCCTTCACCACAACCCCAGGACATATGTGCTGCTATTATCTCTACTTTATTATTGCAGAAATTGAGGCTTAGAGAGCAATGAAGTAATATGTTTAAGTTCACACAGTTAGTGATGGTGCCAGAATACAATCCATGCAGTTTGATTCCAGAGGTCATGCTCTTATATGCTCAAAATTTGTTGAATGAGCCCTGGCTGGTATGGCTCAATTGGTTGAGCGTCCTCCCATGCACCAAAAGGTCACCAGTTCAATTCCCAGTCAGGGTGCATGCCTAGATTGTGGGTTCCATCCCCAGTCTGTGTGTGTGCAGGAGACAACCAATTGATGTTTCTCTCTCTTCCCTTTCTCTCAAATCAATAAACAAAATATTTTTTAAAAATTTGTTGAATGAATAAAGAATGAAAATTGAGCAAAAAACTCATAGATAGTAAGAAATATCTAATGGAAGTTAAAATACACATTATAGACATTCTGCAAACAGAATTTTCAAGCCAGAAAGGATTTGAGAGAGATCACCTCCACAGTATCCCCAACAAGAACTTGTATCCACTTCTTGGGGAGTGCTAGTGACAAGGACTACTCAGTGCTTTCAGAGAACACCCCATCCTGTTTTCCAGCAGCTTCACACTTCTTTTAAGCTGAGACCTGCCCCCTGTTCTTTCTAGCCGTGTTCTTGTGCCAAATTCTGATGCCACACTGTGTCCACCTGACTGGGCGAAGCCTCTGAGCAGAATTTGCTGCGTTCCATCCTCCTGTCTCTAGGGAGCCAGAGGGTTTTCCCACTCACTTCCTTCAGGTCTCTACTCAAATGTCACTTATCCGAGAGACCTTCCATAGACAGCTTATAAAGTAGCACTTCCCCCAAGTCGTTCTCCCTCCCAGCAGTCCTCAGCCCCACCTGACATATAGTAGTTTGCTTATTTCCCTCACTTTGCCCCAGAATGTAAGTTCCGTGAAGTGAGACTTGGACTGTTTGGTTCACTGCTGAATCCTCAGGCCTGGATCAGTGCCTCATACAAAAGTGATGCTTCATAAGTATCTGTTGAATGATTGAGAGACAGGAACTTAAGAACTAAAACCCAACACTGGGGAGAGGAACAAGAATTGTGGATGGTGGGACTAGTGTCACAGAGCTGTAAATGGTATGGCTTTGGCTGTATATATGCAGAATTCTATTCTTTTGGTTGACTCTGTGCACCAAAAGTGCTCCACCCTATCTTGTGGCAGGGTTGTGAAGGCAGGACGTATCTGTGGTGAAGTTCCATCAGCAGCAAGAGCCTTCAATTTTTTCTGCTTTTTGTTTCAGATGAGACAAAAGGACCCAGTGAAAGGAATGACAGCAGATGACTAAAGCCACCCTTCCCCCTTCTGCACTGTATGTACCCCATTTCTCACTATGTATGCCAGTTTGGGTCCTCAAGGCCTCAGCAGCTCACTATGGAGTCAGAAAACTGGCTTCCTTCCTCATCCTGCCCTCTAGGAATAATGATTGCCATGCTAAACAGGCTTGTCATGCTCTTGGGCTTCCACTGTAAGAAATTATGCCTGTTAGGACATTTCAGGGACATATGATTTTACAAAGAACTACTCAGACAGACATGGACAGGGTGGTGAGACAGGGTGAGATGGGGTGGTAGATGCAGAATTGAAGCTTATTGGCAACTAATTACTCTTCCTCTCCTAACTTGAGCCATTTCAGGTTGAAGCTGGCATTCTAGAGCACTCTTATACCTCCCCCACCCTGTGCCAGAGCCAGTCTCTAACTCCCAACTGATAGCATCCCTGCCCATCCCACCCCGAAAGTCTGTTGGCGTTCATTGTTGTATCTGGTGCTTCATTTCCTTCCTCTTTATACCCCCTGATCCCATACTAAGTAGCTGTCCTCATCAGAGGCAGCATCTTTCAGAAGCTTGGAGAGTATTTCTGCCCATGCCATGGGACCAGAATGGGATGTCCCTTGTTTTATACTGGCACTCTTCCCTTCCTTCTAATTGCTCCCAGTGCCCTGCACACTTCCAGACCTGTTGTTTTTCCAGAAGCTCAAAGTGGGCTTGGTCATGGAATGAAAAACCTGGCCTTGCTCCTCATCAGGCTTTGAGAGATTATTTTATCAAATAAAAACTGGCTGTCCCCTAGCACTAAGGAGGCCTGAGGTCTTGCCAGAAGTGATACAGACCTCTGTTCACTCTCCCTGCCCCATGTGCTTGAGAACTTCTGGGAAATAAAAGGGTGGGACTAAGTGGATTGTTGCAATGCCAGCTTCTCAGTCACTGCTTGAACTTTACTTTCGTCTCTCCCCCTAACCCCCACCACACCTACTGGCATCTTTCTTCCTTTTGAAATTCTCCAATCAATGATTTACAGTGTTTCTGTTTTCCTCTGTTGCTTCCTTAATAATTGTATTTCTCTTCTAGTTTTGCAAGACAGTGGTCAACAGGAAGGCCCAGCAGCTCCACCCTCCTGAGTGACAGGCCATCTTCGGACGCAGCCTTTCTGTGCCCGTTCTTCAGGCAACTTTCAGTCCCTTACTGTAGCTAATTCTAGATGCCCTTTAATATTGTGAACAAATAGACCCTCTGGTATTATGAAGCCCGTGTGTGCAGGAGCCTGCTCCTCTGAGATATGTGGCGTGTAGGTTGCTGTATTTACAGCTCCTCCCTCTCCAGCCATTGTGTTCTCAACCCATTTCTGTGTGTCCCCCCAACCCCTGTTTATTTTCAAGTGACATTTTTAGTCTTTCAAAATAGCTGCCTTTTGTGATGTGGTGATTTAAATGATTTCAGTTTGTTTGTTTTCAGCCTTGGGATAAACTGAGGTATTTTGCTTCCTGAACAGATCTTTGCAATTTTGATGAGTGCTCACCTGGGGAGAGGGGATGAGTTAGAAATACAGGTTTTCCCCTTCAGTTCCACAGAACAGCAATGTGGCTTCATAACTCTGACCTCTGCTCCCAGTAACCCATTGTTAGAGTGCTCTAAGCACCAAAGAAATACCCAAGGCCCTGCCAGTCTCTTGTTTTGAAAATTTAACAAATACATATAACCCCTGTCCCAGACATTGCATCTCTGGTCACTAGTCTTAGAAATACCTATGGCTTCTTAACCCTCCTGTTGCCCACTCTATCTGCATCTCTGCAGAGTCCAGAATATGTCAGGGTCAGCTCTCTACCTGGAGGGGCCTGTCCAATGTGGCCCTTAGAATTGAGTCTGCCCTATATATACTAATTAGTCTGCCCCCCACAAGGAGCTCTGTATGTCCATGCTCCTCTTCCCATTTGGGCTGGTGCTGTCACTCAGCAATAATCCTCTTTTCTCTGCGCTGTCTTAGATTCTTGTCCTCTGTCCTTGAGGCTGGTCAGGACACAAGAGTCCTGATCTTTTCATGCTGCATAAAACAAGCATGCAAAAAGCTTCTTCTGAGCAGAACATGTTCCCTGTTGTCTCCAGTTGTTGGAAAGGATTTGGGAATCAAGAACTCAGTACTTCCTGCCCCAAGCTGAGTTCTGTCCTGGACAATCAAAAGCAAGTTGTGACCTTATGTAGTATGTAACTCTACCAAAGTAGGCCGGTGAGAGTCCAGGCTCCAGGGGAATAAAAGCCTCTGAGTGCTTCAGAGTTTCCTATGACTTGGAAGAACCTGGGTATGCCTTCCCCATGGGAGAATCTGAGGTAGCTGTGGTATCACCTAACACTTCCCAAATCTTGTGAAGTAATGTTGGCCAAGTGTATAGTGATCCAAACCCATGCTAGCCTGGGTGCAGCTGCTAATGAGAGAAACCAAATCTTTGTTGGTAGAGTGAGAAGTAGGATGGGAAAATTTATCCTCATGTTTCTGTCAGTTTGTTTTGCCTTATTTCTAAGTGCAATAAGGGAGTCTCACAGGATTACACCTGTGACATCCTGAAGGCTGCTTCCCTGGTGTACTCCTGGGGCCAAGGTGGACAGACCAGACCCCTCAGCATGGTTAGCGCTGACCTTAATCAAGGCCCCTTTGGGACCAGATGTCCTGTTACACCTTCCTTTTAGTCTCCTCACCTTGTGGGGTCTATAGTAGCAATGGATCTGGTGTACAGTTCAGTTGGTCATTAACATCCTACCTGCTAGTAGCATTTATTTGACTGGAAAAGTTGAGGTGTTCCTGGAGAAAAATGTAAATGTTTCCCACCAGCTCTGTATTAGCTGTAATTATATTTGTGCTAAACGCTCGCCCTTCTTTGTTCATCAACTACGTGAAATCCAGATGTGGGAGAAACAACTGGTAATATTCTAAGCAGACACTTGTTTAGGTGGTTTGAGGGTCAGGTGTTAGTCTCCTTCCTTCAGCTCTTCTCTGAGATTCACACATATCACTCCAGCTCTGGTGGGGGCTTGCTCTTTATCTGCCTTTTCTCTGGCTTCTCCCACCTTCACCTGTTGCCCCAGTATGAAAGTGTCCACGTGAGCTGAGCTAGAATTCCCGGGAGTCAGTTGGATCTGGGGCTCCAGCCCACATAAACATGAGGAGGGACTTCCCTGGTCTATTCCATCCCCATGGATAGTGATGCTGCTGAGCAAGTGTAGTCTTCTTTTAAGTATCCCCCTTCCCTCTTCACATCCCCCCCAAACTGGCTAGCATTCAGAGGGGCTTATGATGAAAGACTCAGCTCCAGGGTAGTGCCACGCCCCTTCAGATCAGCTGCTTCCATTCGTTTTCCAGGGTCACAGTCCCAGCTGGAAGCAGTAGTGCCTCTGTAGGAGGGGTGCTGGGCTCTGGCCTTCTCAAAGAGAGGTCAGAGACAGGTCAGTATTGTGGGCAGGCGTATATCTTCCCAAGTTCTCTTAAAGTCCCTGCTGGGACTCCCTGACTTATTTTGGTTGGTTCCTAGAGCTACTTCTTTTACAAAATACACTTTGTAGACTTGATTAGATTACCTTATTTAATGTGAGTTTGTGCCTTTTTGTCTCAATCTTCCAATACAGGTATATTGGGGGAAAAAGCAGTCTAATAAAATCCTAGACAGAGCTTCATGGAGTCGAACTTATTGATGATATCCTTATGTCCATTTTACAATTTACATACCTTAAACTCTTGCTGATGTCTCCCATTTTACCAGGGAAGGATTAGGAAAGGTACAAGATATCTCTGGAAATTTTTGCAGGTGTACTTCATTAAAACATTCCCTTGCCATTTTACTTATGCAAACATCACATATCAGAGTAATTTGGCCATTTCCTACTGACAGTATTTTTGCTTTTATCTCTCCTCCTCTTCACGGCTCCCCCTTTTTCCCATCCTACCAAGCAAAATATTTAAAATAATTAACTTTGCTTCCGGGTTTGTGAACTTCTTGAAGCTTGTTTGTAAAACTGTGAATTTTTCTGGGTAAAGTCACGGCTCTCGTCAGATGCTAAAGGAATCACATCCACTGCCCTCCCCACCCTCCACTCCCCAAAAATATTAAGAACCAGTGATTTGGAAGAAATCAGAATGAATCTTTGGCAAAGTAAATAATCATTTCTCGTTTAGTCATAAAATAGAGGCAGTCACATTTTTCATTCATTAATGGCTAATTTTCTAAGATCCCAACAATCCCAAATATCCAATGTGTAATAGGTAATCTAATGAGTCTGAGGAGCGAAAAACGAAAAACACTTTAAATTGGGCGTGGAGAACTAAGAATGGAGGAGCCCAAGACCAACATGAGAAAGACTCCCTGGAGTTGGGTGGGGGAGAGCCTGGATTACGGGCCGGACAGTGGCTGGACGGCCCCTTCCCCCTTCGTTCTTTGGGCCTCTGGGCGTAGGAAAATTGGGGTTGGGGTGGAGGGCAGTGCAAAAGCTACAGACCTCCGATATTAGTGAAACCCGCAAGAGCCGAAGAGGCTCGCGCGGGCGTGGCGACGGCTTCCGCCGGAAGACGGCCCCTCCCGGCCGGCCTCACGCGAGGCCCTCTGGGAGCCGTGAGAGCCTCCGGAGCGGAGCGCGCACCCCGCACGCCGGGCGGGACAGTGTGACGTCAGGTTCTGATGACGCTAGGACACGCCTTCATGCCCCGCTCCCCTAAGCTCCTTCCCTCCCAGCCTTTCACCTTTTCGCGCTTGCTGAGAGGACCGCCCCTTCCCGCCGGCCGCGCCACCCAGAGTCCCCGCGCTTCGGCCCCGCCTCTTACGGGGCCGAGGCGTAGGCCGGAATCCGGAAGGAAAACAATCGGGTGAGCCTGAGCTGGCCGGGACCTGCTGCCCGAGAAGTGCGGATCCGTCCAGGACCGGCTGGGCCGAGTCGGCCGGGCCTCCGCGTGGGGACGATGGAGACCGTGAACCCACTGAAACCGACGGAACCTAAAGGCAGGAAGCTCAGGTGAGGACGGCCTGCTCCGGGCTGATCACTGCCTCCGACCCAGTTGGGGCTGCGGATCTGGTGTAGAACCAGACTGGGAGAGAATGGACCAGGCCTACAGGGCTGCTTCTAGGTTGAAGGTCCTCCCACATTATCCCAGTGAAAAGCGAGCTATGTTAAGTCTGAGCCCCACGCCCCTTCCAAACTCAAGCGGCTGAACGACTTCTCACTTGGGCGCCCTAAGCAGGTGCCCGGTTGGCTTCTGGAGGAGGCAGCAGTGTTGAACTGTTTGAAGTTAAAGACATAACAAAGCACTGTCCCCTCAGCTCTGGAGTAGAAATCTGTTCTTACTTTTGATCAGCATGTACATCATGAGGTCTGCCTGATTCCGTTGTGACCTCCTAAAATCGGAACACAGATTTAGTTAAGATCCTATAGCCTGGTCCCATGCTTGCTCTTGAACGAGGAACAACGCTAATCACCAACTTAGTGCAGATCACGATGCAAGGATTTGCTGCTAATCGTCAGACTTGGGGAATTGGGGCAAGCAATCTCGACTTTTGCTCCCAATTCACTTAGAGCAGGTCCCTGGGAAAACAAGGAGCCTTGGAATAAAAGGGCTGCCTTTCTTAATCCTCTGTTGGACAGCAGGGGGAGATCGCAAACAAACAAACGAAGCACAATGTCTGTCGAGTGCCTGGGAAGGTGTTTTTGGTGGTGTTTTGTTGATGTTCATGGGAAGGGGCAGGAAGTTGCTTTAAGCCCGCCAAGAATTTCTTCAAGTTGTGCTTTTTAGAACAAACGTGAACAACTAAGAACAGGGTATGGTGAAGAAGAGATGTTTTGGGATAGCTTCCCTTTTCTAACCCTCTCTCATTCTAGATCTGCTGCTGCAGGTCCTCTTTGTGGTGTACCTAGGACTCACCTGAGGCTTGGTGGCTGTACTTGCTCTCCTCATGGTTTGTAGCCACTGCCTGCTCTGGACTCAGCACAGTCTGGAGCTTCCTTGGAGCATTGCTGTAACTATTCATTTGAGATCTGCAAGTCTCTCCTTCCCCTGAGCCTCTGATGGGATCCAGTGTTAATGAGAACTGCTGATCTAGTTCTGTTGCTTCTTTAGGGGTCATATGAAGCTGTGATAGAGGATATTATCCAACTGATGACTTTTGAGATGTTGAGGAACCTGTTATTTAGAACCTTCTCCTTAGGCTATCCTAAATGCTGGCAGAAGTAGTTGTGCTCCAGGGATCACAACCATAGGAAAGAGTAAGGAAGGGAACGTGGTATCTCTGTTATTTTTGAAATTTCCATATCTTGTGGTGCTGAGGTCTCTCACAAGGTAAAAACTGAACATCCAGAATCTTTCTGGTGGTCTTAGGAACCCTTGGGTTGACGAATGGGGAGTGGGAAGTTGCTGACTGAGCCATAGATGATTGCTGCAGTGTGAATGGCTGGTGAAATTAATAAATTCCTGACTGTCCACCCCTTCAGCTCTCCTAGTGTCAGCAGTACCAGTACTGCCAGATGAGGGCAGATGTAGGCCTCCATGGGGAAGCCAATCCAGAGCAGGAATTTCCTGCTTCAGGGAACAGAGGTGAAGATGAAGGGCTTATAGTTCAGCACCTCTATCCCCACCACCAGATGCAGAAAGCAATGTTTCTCATTTTGATTGCAGTGGATTGTGGTGCATCCATTAGCAGGCCTGTACCCCTGTCCACTACCTGGACTGGTGTTACTCTCCTTCCTCCATGGCTTCACTTTTCATCCCTTCCACAGCATACATGTCGTGACATGGAATGTGGCCTCTGCAGCACCCCCTCTAGACCTTGATAATCTCCTTCAGCTGGATAACCATAACCTGAATCTGGACATATATATCATTGGGTAGGTGTCTACAGCCCCTTCACCCATCCCTATTTCTGAGATAAGGTAAGCCTGACCAGTCCCAAGTTGTCCCCATGGGGAACTGCTGTAATCTGTCCCTCGCTCTGGAGTCTGAAGGCTAGGAGCTTTCAGCCTGCATTGGGATCAGTCAGTGTCTCTTGTCCTGGGTCAGCAATGGCAAGGGTTGGCGAATAACATCCAGGGGAGGGAGAGATAATAGTTATGAGAACCCAAGGCTTGAGAGTCTGCTGAAGGCAGTACTAAATGTCTGTGGTAGAGGCAGTACCCTCCAGGCCAGGGGGAAAACCTCTGACCTGGGATGGGCAGTTTGCAGGAAATGAACTGTGGGATCATGAGCCTCCTTTCTGACACTGCCTTTGAAGACCCATGGAGCAGTTTCTTCATGGATGTGCTTTCCCCTCTCAGCTTCGTCAAGGTAACTTTTAAGTTCATGGGCAATTGGGAAATGTGTCTTACCTCTTGTCATTAACCCCCACTCAGTCCTTTGGTCTCCCACTCAGACTTTCATGTTGTTTCCCATTTATTAAAGTGCCTAAACCTCAGTTACATCTGGCTCCCTGGGGCTCCTGCCTGCCTTGTGCCTTTCCAAGGTAACTGGAGCTAAGCTGGGACCCCAGGGGTTTATACCATGATATTTTTCAGGTTGGGAGAATTCCCTGGGGAGGTTGCAGCAAGGCTTATTAACACCTCAGTGCCTACCCCATCTCTAGCCAGTCTCTCCTCACATGCCTAGCCTGCAATGTTTGAGCATAATAATTGCTACCATTTATCAAAATCTTCCTTGATGTTAGGCATTATAAATAAGCTCTTTATTACATTATTTTAAAATTTTAACAACTCTTGAAATAAGAGTAGAGATAAAATTAAGATTCAGAAGTCATACAGGCTCTCTGGAATTTGAATCAAGGCCTTTCAAACTTTATAACCCATAGTCTTTTTTTAAAAAATCTTCACCTGAGGATATTTTTTTTGGTGTGTTTTTTTAATATTATTATTATTATTGATTTTTTTTTTAAAGAGAGATAGGGAGAGAAAGAGAGAAACATCCATGTGAGAGAGAAACATTGATGGGTTGCCTCCCATACATGCCCCAATCAGGGATCAAACTCATAACCTAGGTATGTGCCCTGAACAGGAATTGAGCCTGCAACCTTTTGGTGTACTGGACAGTGTTCTAAGGAACTGAGCTACCCAGCCAGGGCATAACCTATATTCTTAACTACTATACTTTATTGCTATACTGGTGAGCTCTAAGGCTGACAGGTATCCCATGGCTAACCTGCTGGTATAGAGGGTGTCCTCTGATTATTGGGGTCATGCACCTCAAATTCTCAGGAGCCCAGAGGTTAGGAAAGGGGAGATAGGTATGGAGGAAAAGCGTTGTCAGTCTGAAGGTCCTGTATTCTTTGAGGAATCTTGAGACCGTAGGAGAATCCACAGGAAGGCTCTAGATTGCTTATCTTCACCTCTCTGCCTTGCATAGCTGAGGGATGAAGCACACTCCCATTCAAAGCACCTAATGTAGCGCTTCATGAAAATACCAGAATTGCCCTACTTTCTTCACTGGGTGACTGGATTTCTTTAGAATTAATTATCTTACCCTACTTTGCTTAATGGTGCTGAGGCTAGAGCCGTGACTCCTCCCAAGAAGTGCAGAGGCCGGAGGAGGGACTACATGATTTGGTCCTAGAAAATGCCAGCCCCCGAGCCCTGGGCTCCCTCCAGATTAAACTTGCGCCTCTTCCTGCAGACATGGGGGTAGATCCTCAGAGGGTAGAACCACTTCTCTCACCACCCACTTCCTTCCCAAGACTGTAGGCCTCCTTGCACTTCAGCTAACTGGCAAGGGATTGGTAGAATGGAACTGAGCCAAGGAAATTAGCTCAGCTTGTGGCAGGGACACAACCCATTCTATCCATGCTGCCTCCCAAGGTTGGGAGGCCAGCCTGGGGGCCTGGCACCCAAAGCAAATGACCCTCCTACCCCCAGCCAAGAATTGAGGTGAAGGGGTGAGCCCTGCTTGCAGCCTGTTTCTTACAGGAGAGTAAGTTGAGAAGTCTGGGGCTGCCCCCTTTGCTGGCTGCAAGACTCCCAGTCACCTCCTTTCTAGGCGCTTCCTTAGCCCTGCCCACATCATTTCCTCTAACTAGAACTTCCCCTACAAATCTCCTGCCTTTCCCCACAGCCCCACCCTTTCTCCCAATCTGAGGCTTTCCTTCCTCACCCCCACCCCTCCACTTCCCTGCTCCTCACAAAGTGGACTGGTGCCTTTGTGGTGGAGCCCAGTGGCCCGAATCAGCTCTGGGTTAGGGTTAAACTTGAAACACTCCCTGAATCTTTATGCGTTCCCTTGGGAGTCAGTCCCTCATAGTCTAGCCTTTCCCCTGCTTTCATTACCATATGTGCAAGTGAAGGGTAGAAACCAAGACTGGGGGTGGAGGGTGGGGTTGTGGCCACAGTTGTAGCAACCTCTGCCCAACCCTAGGTTCCCACGCCTCCCTCACTCACTTCCCCCACTCAGTCCTGGGTTTGGGGTTCCCCCTGCTTTGACTCCTCCACTGTGCCAGAGCTCCTGGCCTGCGGGATCAAGTTTCATAATTCCTGGAAGGCCCCAGTACACGCTCCCCACCCGGGGATTTCCTCCTTGGCCTCTGCACCTCATGCTCCGGAAACAGCTACTCCAGTGGTGGATGTAGACAGCCTGAAGCTGAGATAGAGGGTCATGAGCTATGGCCCATTCTCATGCCCACCCCACCTCCTGGCCACAGACAGCAGGGGTTTTGACAGTCCTGGTTCTTTGATGTTGTTTTGATGTTGTTATCCAGGTGGTCCTACTGGTTCCTTGGTCTCCTTGAGCCTCAGTCCTTCACCTGAGAAACAGGGACAGTGGTTCCTTCCAGGGTTGGTGTCTTTGTTTTTAATATATCTTTATTGATTTCAGAGAGAGGAAGGGAGGGGGAGAGAGAAAGAGAAACATCAGTGATGAGAGTCATTGATTGACTGCCTTCTGCACGCCCCCCTCTGGGGATCGAGCGGCAACCCGGGCATGTGCCCTGACCAGGAATCAAACTGTGATCTCCTGGATCCTAGGGCAGTGCCCAACCACTGAGCCACTCCAGCTGGGCCATTTCTTAATTTTCTTCCACTGAGGTACAACATATGCAGAAAGTAAGTGTGCTGTTTGGTTTGGGTTTTTTAAATCCTCACCCGAGGATATTTTTTCCATTGCTTTTCAGAGAGAGTGGAAGGGAAAGAGAGAGAGAGGAACATCGATGTGAGAGACACATTGATTGGTTGCCTCCTGCACGTGCCCAGACCAGGGCTGGAAATCCAGCCTGCAACCAAGGTATGTGCCCTTGCCCAGAATCAAACCCGGGACCCTTCAGTCTGCAGGCTGACGCTCTACCTACTGAGCCCAACCAGCTAGGGCAAGTGTATGGTTTGATGGATTTTTTTTATGCATATACGCCCATGTTACTGCCAGTCTAGTCAAGAGTCAGAATATTTCCAGCATCCTAGAGGATTTGCTCATGTTCCTTCTCTGCATCTACTTTTAAGAATCCTTAAACCAAAAAATAATAACTGCCAGTTAATTCTTCCAGTGTCTATGAGATAGATTCCTGCTCTCTCAATGAGATAATAGGCTGAGAGACTTGCCCAATATCAAATACTAAGAACCTGAGCCAGGATTTGGACCAGATCTGGCTAACTTCAAAGTTGGTGCCCTTAGCCCCTATCCTGTATAGCTGCATTCCTCTTTGAGGCCCTGGCCTACAGGGTACCCAGAGGACCTCAGGAGGGCATTGGTGAGAGGAGCACCTAAGCATTCATGGAGCTGGGACTGAAGAGTCGATGCCTACCTGATGGCAGGGTACCCTGGCAGCCTTGCTTTCTCTGTCCTGAACCCCCAGGTTCAGGAACAGAAACAAACTTGCTCAACTCCCACAGTGCATCATTTGGCAGCTAAAGGGAGTGAAACAGACTTGAGCTGAGATACTATAGCCCTGGGGAGGGCATGTGTGTGGCACAGGACCTGGCAGGGACACACTCGGCCTGTGCAGGGAAATGAATGACCATTGTCCTCCCCTGTCCTGCAGGTCTCCTATGTTCGCATGCAGGGGCTCCTCTTACTGGTCTTTGCCAAGTGTCAGCATTTGCCCTTTATCCAGATCCTCTCTACTAAATCCACCCCCACTGGCCTCTTCGGGTACTGGGTAAGGACTGAGTCTTCTTTTAAGTCATGAGCTGGGAGGCCTCTTTTCACTGGGCTGGGAAGGGCTTGGGGCTTTAGAGCTGTAAAAATGGAAAATGGGGTAAAATGAGTCTTGTTAATCTGTCCGATCTGGTTCCCTGCATACCCACTCTCCTGCCTCTGGAAGCTTAGCATCCTGAGACCTCAGGTTGGGTGAGCTCTCTGTGGATTGGATGGAGAGCTCACCTGGGAAGCTGAATGTCTGGCCCTAGGAGATCCTATGGGAGGAGAGACCATCTTCCCTCAGGCCTACGATGGGAAAAAAGAGGTATTTCCTCCCCAGAGCAGTTTCCAACTTGTCCTACCAGGGGAACAAAGGGGGCGTCAACATCTGCCTGAAACTTTATGGCTATTATGTCAGCATCATTAACTGCCACCTGCCCCCCCACATGGCCAACAATGACCAGCGGCTGGAGCACTTTGACTGGATCCTGGAGATGCAGAATTTTGAGGGACTTGACATCCCCAACATCCTGGACCATGAGTGAGCATGCAGTTGCAAACTGCTGCCCCACCCTCTCCCCCACACCAGCCCAGACTAGCATCCTCTGCCCAGTCACTGCTGCCCAGCCAGAAGCAGATCATGCTCCTCTCCCAGCCTCGTCCCTCATACCCCATCTGCTCTCTTATCCACCTTTGCCTGCCTGAGGTCTGGGATCCCTTACCCTTCCCTGGCCCTTCTACCCTGCTTAGAAGCCTGGATACTTCTGAACATCCCTGGTCAAGAACCCTGTGGTTCCTGAGGTCAACCAAAGGGCTGTTTGTCAGCCTTGCCTGGTGGCCAATTGAGGGAGAAGGAGGGAGGGCAGGAGCCTGTTGCGTATTTGTCATTTGCCCTCGGGGCTGGTCTCTTCGCCTTAAACAATGGTGTAGGAGCCATGAGAACAGTCCTGGTGGGCCTGTGCCCTGGTCTTCACCTAGTACTCTCCCAGCAGCCCCTGGAGTGAGCAGGCCTGAGCCACCTGTTCGCTCCTCCCTTCTCTGTCCTCATCACAAACCTCAGGCTGCCTTCTTTTCTTTCTGAAGCCTCATTGTCTGGTTTGGAGACATGAACTTTCGGATCGAGGACTTTGGGTTGCACTTTGTTCGAGAATCCGTAAAAAGTCAGTGCTACAGTGACCTGTGGGAGAAGGATCAGGTATCAAGGGGGTCCAGAGGGGTGGTCTGAGCCCATGGTGGAGGTCCAACATGAAATGTGTGGAGCGTTGCTCAGGTTCCCTAGTGCCTTTTTTCTTTCCCTGTCCTCTGAAATCCCTGTGCCCAGGCAGAGAGGAGTCTAACAGGGCTTCACACCTGGGGGTGGGGCAGCCCGTCCAGTCAGGGCCTGGTCTTCATTTGGCAAAACCAAAGTGTGCGTTATCATAGGGAGCGAGAAGGGCTTTGGCCTATGAGCACCAGCCTTCTAGTATCCCTGTCGTCTCTCCCATCTCCAAGCTTGCTTGCCTCCCAGAAGATGAGATATGCCCATTTGAGAAACCCTGGCTACTCCAGCCTGCCCTCTGATACATATCTGCTAGTGGCTCCCAGAGAGATGGAATTTAAAGCCTGGTCCCTATAGTCCAAAGACTAGGAAATGGCAGGCAGCTGCCTCCCCTGGGACTGTGGGGTAATGTTTGCAAAAGGATTCAGCTGTTCTCCTGGGGGTGGGGGTGGGATACTGAGGCTGTGAGGAAGTGAAGTGGCATTGCTTAATTCTTACCTCACCTTGATAGCTGATCCCTTAAATGGAGTGTGGTGCTGGGCCATGGGGTTGGGACCATCGGGAGATGGGACTGTACCTTTCTCTACAGCTCAGCATTGCCAAGAGATGCGACCCACTGCTCCGGGAGTTCCAGGAGGGCCCCCTGCTCTTCCCACCTACCTACAAGTTTGATAAGAACTCCAACAACTATGACACCAGGTGAGGGGGCTCCAGCAGTAGAGGATCAGCCTACCTTGGCTCTGGAATTAGCCTGTGAGGAGGAAATGGGGAGCCAGGACTGGGAAGTCATACTGTGCTGGCCCTAGTGGCAGTTGGAGCTGCCTCAGAATAGAAATGTTAGGGAAGCAGGTATAATAGATCCAGCCATCACCTCTCAGGAGTGGTGCTTCTCACCCCCTTTGAGGCATTGACTATGGGAACTCTTCCCAGATTGTCCACAGAGAAAGCAGGTGGGGGAGCTGGTGCTGTCCAGGATGGGGTATGGTTAGGGGGCAGGTAGGGCCAGAGAAGAAGAGGCAACTGATTCCTGACTTACAAGTGGCTACTTTTCAGCATTCTGGGAACCCCTGCCCCCACTCCCCAGAGCTTTCTGGTCCTCCCCAGATGGGGGCTTGGCTCAGCCACTTACTGGTATTAAGTGCCCTTGCCCTAGCTGTGAGTGGTCAGGTACTATTCAGGAAGGTGAAGTAGTAGTCATCAGTGGAGATTTTTACAGGGAAAAATAGAGACAGTGCACCTAGTAGTTAGAAGCACAGCTCTGCATCAGCTGCATGACGTTGGCCAACATATTTAAGGCTTGATTTTGTCATCTAGAAAATGGGAGTGATAACAGTACTCACCTCGGTTGAGGATTGAATGAGACCTTGCATATGTATAGTCCAGTGCCTGGCACCCAGTGAGCACTGTGATAACTGCTATTGTTATTTTTAGATTCATGCCTTCAGGTGGCAGTTGTTTTGAATCTTTATTTTTTTTATTGATTGATTTTTAAAGAGAGAAAGGAAGAGAGAGAGAAACATCAATTTGTTGTTCCACTTATTTATGCATTCATTGGTTACTTCTTGTATATGCCCTGACTGGGGATCGGACCCACAACCTTGGCATACTGGGATGATGCTCTAACCAACTGAACTACCCAGCCAGGGTGGGTGATAGTTTTACTGAAAAACTTTCTAAGAAGCTGAGAAGGGGCCAGGTCACCACCAAAACCTTAGGCTTAGGGAAGGCGGCAAAAGCAGCTCTAGCAAGAGGTCCCTGGCTCAGCTTAGGGCAGGGAAAGAAAAAGAAGAACCCTTTGCATGTTAGGGGCTTTTTGTTTCACTTGAGACAGTTCCTTCATTCTTCCTATCAAGATTGTCTTATGAGGGAGATAGGAGGTCCTCCAGAGCACCCCAGTCCTCTGAGATTTAGGGGGTGAATAGGTATCTCCACAGCCAGGCCAGGGTGAGAGGTAGGACTGCTGGCCCAGTGCTAGCAGTGCTATAGCAGAGCAACAGTGTCCCTGCCAAGGAATGGGGAGAGGGCAAGCCATTTCAGGAGTGTGGAGCAAGACAGAATGGGATCATGGCCTGGGCAATGCACACAAGAAGAGGCCATGAACACTGGAAACTGGGTTCAGCCAGGGCAATTGAGCAGGCCAAAAAGGAGGTAAGAGGGCAGTCTCCAGCTGGCCCAGGTCCACAGCTATAGGGAGACTGCCAGTCTCCCCAGCCAGTCATTGGAAATGAGAGTCATGGACATTATAAGGCCTTGGCGGGACAAGCTGGGGACTTGGGGGCTGGGACCCTCCACCCATTGACTTTAAAACCTCCCTTGCCATCAGGAAAAGAGCTGCTGACAGGCCATGTAGCCAGGTGTCCCTTTGCCCCGACCCCCAGGTATGGTAGGGAAACCACTGGAGACTAGATGAAAGTTATTGCAAACAGCTGAGTCTGGGCTGCAGTTAGCAGGGACAGATTGGGTAGAGAGGCTCAGAGATGTTAGAGGACTTCCCCAGGCGGCTTAGCTAATGGTGGCAGAGCTGGGGCTCAGACCTGATTCTCTGGACTCTGGCTCACAGTACTTTCCTCTAGACCACAGGACCTCTGAATTCACATCTGGTTTTGCCAACAGCAGCAAACAGGATTGGACAGCAAAGTCTTGCTAAGGAGGAGGCAGATACTTATTCCCACATCATAGATACAACCCACATTGTGGTTGATATTATTGAGCACTTTTGATTGCCAGGCATTGTGCACAGGGCTTTGTCTGCATCGCTTAATTCATACTTTATCCTCATTAGGTAGATTTCTACTATTGACCTTTTTTAAATATATATATCTTTATTGATTTAAGGGAGAGAGAGAGAGAAACATCAATGATGAGAGTGTCATTGATTGGCTGCCTCCTGCACGCCCCTGACTGTAGTCCAGCCTGGAACCTGGGCATGTGCCGTGACCGGGAATTGAACCACAATCTCCTGGATCCTATGTCGATGCTCAACTGCTGAGCCACACCCAGCCAGGCTATTATTGAGTTTTTACAAATAAGAAGACAGTCTTGGAATATCTAAGTAACAGTAACAGTAAGTGATCAAGCAAGAATTTGAACTTGAGTCTGTGTGACTGCAGGAACAGGGGAGGACATCATAACTGAAGTCTCACCGGCTGGGGCCACGGTCCAGAGACAGCTGGGAGTTACCCTAATGGCCAGGGCCTGAGCCCTTCATTGTGAGCAGAAACATTTCTAGCTAATCGGACCAGTGTTCATCCTCGAAAACCAGTTCAGACATCATCTCTACCAGAAAGCCTTCCCTGACCCAGCCTTCCCCGGCTCACTGAGAGGCCTCTCCTGCCTTTATGCTGCCTCAAGCCTTGTGTACACCAGGCTTCCCATGTTGCTTTTAAGACACAGTATGCCTTTCTTGCTGTAGTGTGAATGCCCAGAGCGCAGAGATAGGATCTGATTTATGACCATTCCTGAGATGTAGCATAGTGCCTGGCATATGCTTAAGTTGTGAGCCCAAAAGAATAAAAGGGAAAGATGCAGCATTTAAGGAGCAGCCAGCCGAGTAGAGGGACCCACCCATGCAAGAGATCCAAGTAAACGTATCAAGTCCAAGAGCTGGCAGATAGAAGGTTCCCGAACTCTGTGGAAGTGCTGAAGGAGGTTGAGGCAAATGGTGAGGGGAGCAGCTGACGCCAGGAGGAGTCGATCAGAATTGTCAAGAAGGCAGCAGAATTTGGCAGAAAGAAGGGCAGGCATTCCTATCAGTCAGCAGCACTGATGAGAGAGGCATCTTGAGTGGAGCCTGACCCAGCTGTACAAAGTAACTATGAGGGAGTTTTGTGCTGGGCATGGGAGGCAGCTTTGCTCAGCCACAGTAGTGTCCTGGAGCCAAGATGTAATGAGAACCTAGGTCCGCTCCATTACAGGGAGGGTGAAAGGGCTGAGGGCGGGAAATCCTGTTCAAGTCAGAGATTGCAATAGGGTTGTGTTACATGAACCCAGTCAACCTCTCTGCTAGGCAATGAGCAGAGGATATTATGATCAGTCTAGTCAAGACTTGTGCCTAGAGTTCAGTGTGACACTTAGAAGCCAGCTACAGAGAGCTGAAGGGAAAAGTGCTTTCAGACCCCAAAATGGGACACATCACTATTTTGGGGTCAATAAATTGGCTGAGTTTTTTAGGCTTTTAAGCCGAGAGAATCTTACAGAGCTACTTGGTTTTAAATTTTTTGAAAGTCAAGATATACTAATCTCCAGAAACAATTGTTGTATTCAGTTATGACCATTCAGCCGAAAAGCATCAGTGAGACCCAATCCAGATAACGCACACTGTGAGGCAGTTCTGGCAGCTGTGAATTGGCCCCAGTGGGCAGGCTGGAGGAGACAGTGGAGTGCAGTGGAGGGGTGCAAACTTCATAGTCAGCAACCTGGACAAGCATCTGGCCTCCACCTGGGCAGGGTGACTTCTGAACTTCAGTGTCCTGTGGGAGGAGAAAAGTGTGATCTTAGCATTCTCCCAGTGTTGGAGGGATTAGAACAGCCTGTGAGCCACCTGTCTCAGTGTCTAATCACAGAAGGACCCGACGCCTAGCTATATTATTATTAGAAATGGAGAACTCGGGAAATATATGTAACATTTGATTAGTACACATTTATTTTGCTTACTGCTTTCTTGTCTTTTGTCAAGCAAGCTCCTCAAAGACCTTTTCAATCTAATTTATCGGATCCCTAGTTGGCCTGGCACATAATAAGGGCTCAGTAAGTCACATTGAAAGAATGAGTCCTACAGGTGAAGGGACGAGCCTGGACCAGGCCATAGAACAGGAGGAAAGGGAGTCAAATGGAAAGGTACCAAAGAGGAAGGAGAGGCAGGCTGTGGCCAGGCCTGGGGAGGATTCGGACGTGACAGCAGGTCTGAGTTCTTAACTATGAGGGAAGCTGGGGAGTGGGAATGCTTTGAAAAGGGAGAGTGGTACATTCCTGTGGTTTATTACCAAGTGTTAAGCATTGTTAGGCACGAAATGTCCAAGACTCCATGTCTGTAGTCTCTGGGATGGGATTACCATATTCCTATGTCCTCTGAGCATTCCTCAGAATGAGAGGTTGAAACAGTCCAAGGAGGCCCAAGCAGATGTGGTTTAGCCAGTTACCACTTGACCACTCCCTTGACACACCTTAATTTGTTTAACCTTCACAATAGCTCTTTGAAGTAAGTACTATTATCAACTCATCTTAGAGTCTAAGAAACCAAGGTTTGGAGTGATGAGGTCACTTGCCCAAGGGCACATAGCCTTTATCTTTTAAAACTGGATTACTGGTTTATTATAAATGGATGTAACTCAGGGACAAGCAAGTGAAAGAGGTGCATAGGGCAAGGGCCAGGAGGCTCCTTGTCCCCTCCTGGCCCACCACTCTTCTGCTCACCAGCATGGAACAACAGGGCTCTTAATTAACAGGGCAGAACCTGCCCCCAACTGGCCTCTGACCCGAGAGTCAGAGTTCACCATCGAGACACCATTCTGCCTCTGTTGCTAGAAAACTGTATTGCTGTTGAAGTGACAACAGTATGTTTGTTTAAAATAGTAATTAAGTAAAGCAGAAGACAAAAATAGCATTTCAAACATTATAAGCACATGAAGCTCTATGCATTAAGATTATATGGGCATTTTTGAGGAGAGAGATTGAGCTTGGGGTTTTATTAGTTAGTTTGGGTTCACAAGCAGTTGTCAAGTACCTACTGTATGCCAGGCTCTGTATTAATGCTGAGTGTACACAAGAGACTCCAGGAGCCAGTCCTGCCTTCCTAGTTCACATACTAACTCATATGCTGATTGGGAAACAGAAAACTACAATATAATATAGTAAAAGTACTGGTGTAAATGCTTTAGAGAGAAGGAGAGGTCAGGGGCACCTTTATGATGAAGACAACATTGGAATCGGGCCTCTCCCTGTGAAAAAGGGTGTTCTAGGCAGCGAAAGCTTCTAGAGTAAAGGTCCTGAGGCTTGAGAGAGTCTCCAGAGTGGGGTGGGTCTGGGACAGTGGTGAAAGGTAAAGTCAGAGGCGGCAGACTCCTGACCACCTTGGAAGCTGTGCTTGGGGACTGGAGCTATATTCTAGGGGCAATGAAACGTCTTAAAGTTTTTAAAGTAGGAAATTATCTGACTCATCTGACCAGGCTTTACTACTCTGTGGTTCATTCAAAACCAAGGGGAGGAACCCAGAAATATTGACTGCCCCCACCCCATTCCAGGACACAGGGTCTCCACTTGGAGGGCGGGGCTGGGTGCCCGGCCCATCTTAAAGAATACCCAGCAGCTGCCTGAGCGGGGCTGGCTCCGAGTCAGGCTTGCCTGCCTGGAGTCAGCTGCCTAGGGGGGGAGCACTCTTGTCTCCAGGGTTGCAGGTCCTTTCTCACGCTCCTCTGGAAGCTGGCAGTGAAGAACAGTGGAGGGGTCTCTCAGTTGATTCTTGAGAACAAACCATAATCAGGCAATGTCTACAGAGGGCTTATACCAAGCGCTATGCTGAATATTTTCTGTGCTTTATCTTATTTCATCATCTCAGCAACCCTATGAGGTAACTACTGTTCTCCATTTGACAGATGAGGAAGCTGAGGCCTGAGAGGGGTTGGCCAGGTGATTTAGAGCACACACTATGGTCATGCTGCTTGGCCTTTAATCCTGGCTCCACCACTCAGTGCCTATGTGACTTTGGGAAAGTTGCTTCCCCTCTAAGACTCAATCTCTCCACTGGTCACAGGCATGTGGTGAGCATTCTTTAACCGCTTTCCTTCTCTAAGGCCGCATCTTCAGTAAGGGAGAGCCAAATTCCAGCTCAGGATCTGCCTGACTCCAAAATCCAAACCTCAGCCTCTCTGATCTGCTGCTGCTTTTGGTCAAGAAATAAGAAAAGCTTTGAAATGAAATGTTTCTGAGTCACAGTTTGATTGAGGGTCCTTGGCTGAGTCTGAGAAAGGCCAGCATACCTTTGATTCTGTTGGATACCCTCCCTTCTGTTGCCAGGCTGTGTTCCAGCTCTGGCCCAGGGGGCTCATGGCCGCTGAGAGACCCTGGCATTAGGGGCTCCGGCAAGCTCGTGGGGGCACCTGCTGCTCTCCTGCCAACGCTTTCTTCTCTCCCCGTTCTTCCTCTTCCCTCCCCTTCAGTGAGAAAAAACGCAAGCCTGCATGGACTGACCGGATCCTGTGGAGGCTGAAGCGGCAGCCCCACACTGACTCCTGTGCCCCCAGGCTGCCGGCCCATCACTTCTCCCTGTCTCTGAGGAGCTACGTCAGCCACATGATGTACACCATCAGTGACCACAAGCCTGTCACCGGCACCTTTGACTTGGAGGTGAACTACTGGGCTGCCAGGCAATTGGCAGAGGAGCAGCCATGCTAGGCCACATCCCCAAACACTCCAGCCCTGGATTCTAATGTCAACACATCCCCCAGGGGAGACCTGTAGGGGGACATGATTGCCTTTCCTCCCAGGTCGGGTATCCCTGCTCTTCTTAGGAGCTGTTGATGGCTCTGCCTGTCAAAAACGTGCTCAAACCCCTTGTGAATAGGTTTCCATTTCCTCTCGGTGCTGTCCCTTGGGGCTGAGTTCCATTATGTTTATTACCTACTATGTGAAGTAGGACTTCCTTGTATTGTCCTGAACCTATCTGGATCAGGTTGCAAAGGAAGCTCCCTCCATCCTTGTATTTTGCCATCTAACAACCAACTAAGTGTTCACCTTTGAGCTGCTGGCTGCCCTCAGCCTTCACCTTTTCATACTGGTTTGTCTGTCTTTATACCATTTGTTCCTTCTACATGTCTATAGCTGTTCTTGCCACAGGTACCCTTCCCCTGAAAAATAGAATTTGGGTCTTTGGGTCAGGAACCCTGAAGGTCTGAGAGCAGCCACTTGGCTCCTTAAACCTGTTAGCTCTTTCCTCCCATTCTGCCTCACCTTCATCCCTCAGCACTGGGCTCTCTGCTTGGTTACCCACCTGGCCCTCTGCTCCACCATTCCTGCCAGGGTCAGCCACCCCTGACAAGCCTGTGGTCCTTTCTCTTTCCAGCTGGCCAGCCAAGGTCTGCTACTTTCTCAGGGCAGCCTAGCATTCTGTCCCACCACCCTGACGCCCCTCTTCCCCCCCGACCCTTACTTGTTGGAAAAGCGCAGTAAGAAACATTTATCTCAGAGAAGAGAATGATGCTATGGATTTTCAACCTCTTTCCCATCCCTGTGTGTAGCTGAAGCCGTTGGTATCTGTCCCACTGATCACCCTGATGTCAGAAGGCTTGTGGACCATGGAGAATGACATGCTTATCAGCTACTCATTGACCTCAGACTTTCCCAGCAGCCCCTGGGACTGGATTGGACTGTACAAGGTGATGTAATGGGAGAGGCAGGGAGTCCATCAGCCACACACACCCCCTGGTTTATCCACCCTGAGGGCTCTGGGGAGCTGGGCACAGAAACAAAAGAGCTCATCTCGGGGCTGGCAGTGAAGGGGAGGGCATACAGTATGATAGCCAAACCTAGGAGTGAGACCATCTTCCTTAGGATTTGCTTTAGGTCCCGTGGTGGGAATAAGCTGTCCCTTCCTGACCGTCCAATCCTCCCTCCCACAGGTGGGGCTTCGACACATTAACGACTACGTGTCCTATGTCTGGGTCAAAGACAACCAGATCTCCTGCAATGGGCTGAACCAGGTACCTGCCCTGCCCATCCCTGAGATAGGTGTTCCACTTCTCCAGCAGGCAGTCTTGCCTGCGGGAAAACTTGTCTCTAAGCACTGGGCGGGACCAGGGCCGTGGAGCTGACCCCATCCCATCTGTCCTCCCCTCCAGGTTTACTTCAGTGGCAGCGACATCCCTGAGACTGAGGGTCAGTTTCTCCTCTGTTACTATAGCAACAGCCTACGTTCAGTGGTGGGAATAAGCAGTCCCTTCAAGGTAAAGTGGGGTGAGGGGAGCTTGAGCCCCCTTCCGTTCCCCAAGCCATAAGCCTAGGAGCCAACCTGTACCTGGAGCTGCTGCAGTTGGAGAATGGCAGTGATGGAACAATGCGGAAGAAAACCTGCTATTTCCCCTTCCGCTCACTGCCTGTTTCATCCCTGCAGATCCAGCCTCGAGTCTTCTTGGCGGAGGACCCACTGGGTGAAACCCAACCACAGATCTGAGCTTCAGTGAGGGGGAATCCAGGGCGGAGGCCAGAGCTGGCAGCCAGCTCTACTCACCACTTCCAGGAGCGCTGGGGGCCCAGCCAGCCTTCTGAGGAGGCAGCAAGTATCCTTCACCTCCCGGGGGGAGCTCTGGCCACACACTCCTTTGCTCTTTCCACTCCATATCTGTGGAAGTGGCCACTTAAATACAGACTTTCGTTGCTGAGATGTGAGTGAAACCAGCTAGTGTGTAAACAGTGAAGACCTGGGGACAGTCCACCGGATGTGGGAGGGACCCTCTAGTCTACGTCTCATTTCTTGATTTTCCCCACACACAGTTCCAGTCCCGCCCAAGCAGGCCCGGCAGGCACATGCCCCATCTGGCACAGGCCTGCATTCTTGTCACTTCATCCTGGGCCTCAGGCTATCTGGGAGGGGGAGTTGCTCACATTTGTACAGGCTTCATAGACTAGTTGGCACAAGCAACACTGGGTCCCAGGAGTCTTGTCATCTCATTGCCTTTCCCCCTGAGGGATGGGAAGGAAGTGTGGGATCCTTGCTTTCAGCAGAAGCAGTATGATTAAGTTGACAGGATGGACAGGCCCCGTTACCCAGGCTCTTACGTAGGGGTTGTGGGCAGGTTGAGTGTCCTGCCTGCATCCTCCTGCCCCCATGGAGTGTGACCCAGAAAGTTCCAGACCTGAAGAGAGAATTGGACCCAGGTTCACTTCTGCTGGGGATTATGCCCCCAACCTGCCATCTTGTCAAGGGTTAGCAGGTGGTAGAGGAGCTGTGGCCACGGGTTTTTCCACGGTGGTCTGCGCAGTGGAGCTCTTCTGCGCCTACCCTTGTCTGAAGTCATTAGCCAGAAACCTGCCCTCTCTCTAGACCACTCTGGTACCTAGAAGGGGCAGGCAGAGAGGAAGGCTGGAATCAAGACGTTTGGCAGAATCTGGCCCTTGGGGTCTTCAGAGAGCATTCTCCAGGTGCTGTGTGGACATGGCTGTCCCTACTCCTACCACTTGCCTCCAGCTGCTGGTCACTCAACAGCTCTTCTCCCAGGAAAAAACACCTCAGGGAGTCTGCTCTGTGACTGTCACTCGAGTCCTACAACCTGAAACTAAGGAACACTCCAGTTGCTCTGCATTCCATACTCCACCCTGGGAGCCATGTGTACCATGGAGAGCTGTCCCCCTGGCTCCTAGCGGGCTTTGGATGTATGTGTTCTGTCTGTCACATCGAGGGATAATTAAAAACATGGCTTTTACACTTGTGTGTGACTCCTTCATGATGGTGCTGGGAAGGGGTACACGGTGAGGGGCATGTACACCCATACTAGACTGCGTCTGAGAGGAACAGATGTTGCCTGGTGGGAACGGGAATGAGGGTCACGAATAGTCGCCCCCTGGAGCCCTGGCCCACTTGACACATGGTATTGGGCAGTTGATTAATTCTGCTGCTGAGCAGAGTGGGTTTCTTAGAACTGATAACTCAGAAAAGGTGCTTACCCTGCTCTCGCTGGCTCACCCCTCTTCACCCGCCACTCCCTCAGACCTTAGTCTTGCGCCTTGGACCTGAGTTAAGCTATCCAAAAATGTCACCATCTTTCCTTTCCACCCCAGAGACCCCCTATCCAGAAGTTCGCATGGTAACCTCTATCCCTGCCCCCAGTACACACACCTGATGAACCACGAACCCTTGCACTTGTCTGCTTCATTCCTTCTCACATGTACCACCATCATGGGTGCTGGCACCACCCTTTGTCAGACCACAGCTCAGAAGTGGCATGATAGGGGCAGCTGTGGTATCATGCAGGAATTGGGTCAAGGCCTGAGTCTGAATCAGAGTTCCACCTCTACCCACATAGTCTCAGTCTCAGTTGTCTGTAAAACTCAAATAATGCCCCATTCACAACATAGTTGTGAGAGAACAATTGTACCCAAAACCCCACAAAAAAAACACTATACCTACCTCCCCATTCCAATTAATGTGCCCCTGGGGCTGGATCTCCAAGGCGCCTGAGTCCGGGGGTCCCTCTTTCTCCTGCTTGTGGAGCATGCTTGTCCTCTACATGTCCACCTCTCCCCTTCCCCCTTAAGTCTTCGCTTGCCCCTACCCCACCTCTTTTGCAGAACCCCTCCTAGCTTGGCAGGGTGAGTCGAGCAGGGATTGAGAGGCGGGAAGGGGAAGGGGGAGTGCTTTCCCTCCTCTTAGCCCCAGTCAGGATATAGCCGCTCTGGGCCCAGCCCTGACCGGCTGAGTGGAAACAGGAAATAAGTGAGACTTGGTGTGCACTGGGTCTCTGAGCCTGGCTCCACGGCTGATAAAGGCCATTGTGTGGCTGCCGGGGATGAGCCTGCCCTGGATAGATGTGCTTCCTGGAGGAAGGAAGGAAGCTTTGCTGGTCTTTCCTGGGCGGGGGAAACTGTGAGGAGGGAAGAGAAGAGTGCCTGGGGGAAGGTGGACTTCACTCCTCCCATGCCAGTGTTGCCCTCTGGAAAGGTCACTTTCCCCCATCCACTTCCTCTTCTCACTTCCTATAAGGAATGGCTGGAGACCCAAGGGCTCAATCCCAGGCCAGGAAAGTGTCAGCTGTGATTTAGCAACAATAAAGATAGAAAAACAGGAACATTCAGGGTGGGGGGCACCTGAGGGTGCTAATGGAAAAGTAAGGAGCCAACAAGGCTAAAGCTGCCCACAACCAAGGAAGCCAGGGATCAACCTCCCAAGCAGTTGAGGCTCCAGAGGAGGGTGGAACAGGGGGCTCTTCACAGGGCCCTCCTGCCTCTCCAGCCAGCCAACCTTTTCTGGCCAGTCCCCAGCAGCCCTGGCCTTTGAAACTCAAGGGGCTCACATGCTGCTGTGGGAGGCAGGCAAGTGGGTGGGGGATGCATGAAGGAGGGGCAGTGCCTATTGATGGATCCTCTTGGTTTAGGATAGGACGTATATTCTGTTTTGGGGAGTGGTGACTCTGCTCTCCAACTGACACCGGTGAGTGGGCAGGGGAGAGGCCCAGCCACAGAGCTGCTGTGGGGAAAAGCCTCCTACCCTCTGACCTAGAGCCCAGGGTACCCCAAATAGCCGCTATATCAGCTGCTCTTGTTACCTGGGACAACAGGCATTTCCTCTATCACTCAGCCCCTCCTCTTCCTGCCCCAACCCTCTGGGCCAAGAGGCCTCCCAATCAGACCTGGGCTGCTCCAGCTGTGTCCTGAGGCGCTGGACCAGACACATCCCTTGGGGCTGGAGTTGAAGCTGAACCAAGTGGCCATTCCAGCGTGAGACCAGATTCCTGGCTCCAGGAGCAGCCACAGCCAGTAGGCAGGCGGTCAGGCCTTTGCCCAGAGGCCCCAGTGCTCAGCACGCTGGCTATCCACAGGCTGGCTATCCACAGGCAGAATGGCACTGCAAGTGGAGCTGATCCCCACTGGGGAGATCATCCGCGTGGTTCATCCTCACAGGCCCTGCAAACTTGTAAGCGGGGATGCTCTGGGCTGGGAGGAAGGGTGGCAATGTCTCCCCAGGACCCACAGCCCTTTCTCAAGCAACCCACTTGGGAAAGAGGTGAGCAGTGGGGAGGGGTTCTGATCCTTGGTGGGACAGGAAGAGACTGGACAAAAGGGGTAAACAGAAGGAAGGGGTAAGGTTTTAAGTGCCACTATTAGCCATCACTAGGAGCAGGGTTTTTCAAAGTGGGGATCCGGGTTTGAATCCTTTCTCTTCCTACTCCCTGATCCTCAGTGGGCTGGGCTATGAACTGGGCATAACACATAGGTGAGAGGGCTGCTCTGAGGTCAAAGGACGAGTGGCATGTAAACACCAGGTGCATAGTAGGGCTCAGTTAATGCCTCCCCTTTCCTGGTGGGCCCAAAGAAATGGGCGGCTCGGAGCAGTAGCTTGGGCTGAACGGAGAGTGAAGGGAGAGAGGTAGTCACAGATGGGGAAGAACCGACTTGGCCTGGCACGCAGAGAAGAGTTGGGCTTGCTCTGGGGATGCAAAGGGGCATCAGACGCACCCACCTACCCAGCACTGCAGCGAAGGTGGCCGGGTCTTCGCTGGTGGAGAGTGTGTGTGTGCATGACTGTGACATGCTTGGTCCTGGGAGCTGGTTGCGGAGTGTGCGGCACCTAGTCTCCACGGACGCCAATGCGGGTCAGGACCAGAGCCGGC